GTCGCGCTGTGATGATGTCACATACGCGCTTTCGTCGACCGCGATTTTGTCGTCCGCGGTTTTGTGGTGGAACCCATCACACCTGTCTCCCTGACTTACACTGCACTTCTCATGCACCATGTGCAATTACGATATAAATCTGTTGAATGAAGCTTTGATATCATGTTTATTGATAACTGATAGCTGTATTATTTGTCCTAGTTATTTCTGTTGGACTGAAGAAAAATTTGTTTGTACTTTTATACATTTTATGAATTAACAAAATTTTATCCCAAGATGTCAATAGCTTTGTTGCCCGGTCCAAAACTTGCGGGGAGTTGCGATCAGCTCATATAGGTCAAGAAGTCACTCTCTGTGGATGGATTCAATATAAGAGGTAAATTGAAAATAAAATGACTTGGAATGATTAAATTGCTGATGCTAAAGAAAAGATTAAAATAATAGTCTGCCTTAGTACATCAGGCTTTGGGAGATACAAATATAGTCTGGTATCTTGTTTCTGTTTTCTTCCCTATACTAATTTTTATGCCTATAGAAAAATCTGTAAGGGAGGTTGATGGTTAAGAAATTTGAAATACAGGGAAAGAAAGAATGAGAGGGAGGGGGAGAGAGAGAGAACTTAAGTGAATTGAGGACCAGCGTCAAATTCTTAAGTGAAAAGTAATGTTCTGACACTACATCTTTTGAATGTTCCATACTACCAAAGTCTTCTTGCATGTGAAACACTTATATGTCACATAAAAGTGTCTAGTTGAGGTGTCTCCACAGCTGTTCTGTGACTAGGCATTGTGTACAGTAGATGTCATTGGACAGCTCTGCACTGCATATTCATGAGCTCCATGCAGGGGTTGAATCTGAAGTGTTACTAACATGTCTACACATCTGTGTCTCCCATTATTAGACATGAACAGTTTGTAGTTTTGAGAGATTTCCAAGGACTAACACAAATACTCATACCTCAGGATGAGGTAAGTGCTATTGAAAACTGCTTTTGTAGCTTTTTGCTAGGAAGCCAACAAGGATTGCATCAAAATCAATTTATAGGTAGTCCTTGGCTTACAACCATTTAATCAGCAACTATTCAAAGTTAGACAGCACTGGTACGAATGATAGTTACAACTAGTCCTCAGTCAGAATTCCAGCAATCTAGGCATTTGACAACCGTCTCACATTTACAATCTATTGCAGCATCCTGAGTTCATGTGAATCAGAAAGTCAGTGGGGAAGTTGGCAGAGAAAGTCACAGGTTACTGGGGTTAGTCTCCCCAACTTGTTCACCCTCTCCCAGCCTCAAATGTGCCTCCCTCATACACCTCTGCACCTCTAATACAATCTTTCTGAGCCTTGCTCTGCTTCCCCTTGCTATGCTTCTCACACAACCTCCCCAACTCTTGCTGTGCCTCCTTCAAGTACTCTCCCAACCCTCCCTGTGCCTCCTGCACACCCTTACTGCACCACCCCTTCACTCTCCCGGACCTTTCCCAACCCTTCCCCCTACCTTGTCTCTCAGGTAATTCCTGACTTGATTATGGGAAGTCAACAGGAAGTTGCCTCACCTGATGACTGTGGGATTCAGATAACACCACAATTGGGATTGCAGGGATTGCTGTTGCTAAGTGTTGCAATTGTGCTTTACAACTGCATCCCTGAGCAATGGAAATTCTGGTTTCGGTTTCTGTTGTAAGTTGAAGATTACCTGTAATGTTCTAGACACACTGATTTAGAGTACTACTGAGAATATTTCCTGGATTGCTGGTAATTTTTTAATTTTCATAGCTGCTCTCTCAGATTATTTCTAGCTCATAAAATTGCTATAGTCAGTTTTATAATCTTTAATTTGCTGGTTTGAAACATGAAGATATGTAAATTTTAGTAGATAAAATTTAATAGATAATAGATTCATTATGTCCAGCACACTCTGTGATAGACAGACTTTAAAGCTTTAAGCCGAATACACCAGCCTGAAGATGGTGAGTGAGACCTCCCTCGCCGAAACGTTGTCAAGACAATCTCAATTTTACACGGGAAAAGACCCGAATACAACAAGACCAGCATACATACACCCGTGAAAATCTACGAATATATATATGTGTGTGTGTGTGTGTGTTGTATTTGTGCTGATAAATAAATAAATAAATAAAGGGAGACTAGTATAGATCTATTTCAAGCTCTCATCAGCTAGCCATACCCTTACTGGGATTTGAACCTGGGCTATATTACATCCTAGGCAGACTTCTTAGCCATTAGGCCACAGGCTCTTATCCATTATCAGCGAAGCCAGGGTGAAAGGTATCTATTAGATTTTTTTTTACTTGAAATAGATCTATACTAGTCTCCCTTTATTTATTTATTTATCTATCAGCACAAATACAACACACACACACACACACATATTTGTGTGTAAAAAAATCTAATAGATACCTTTCACCCTGGCTTCGCTGATAATGGATAAGAGCCTGTGGCCTAATGGCTAAGAAGTTTGCCTAGGATGTAATATAGCCCAGGTTCAAATCCCAGTAAGGGTATGGCTAGCTGATGAGAGCTTGAAATAGATCTATACTAGTCTCCCTTTATTTATTTATCAG